AGGAGTGGCAATCTCTCCAGACTAAGTGCCGAAGGCATTAGAAGGCGGTGTCCGTAAAACGTAATCGTGTTTTCCATGCACTTTAGGTCGTAGCGTGATCATGTCGCAGGGCGTCGAGGCTTTCCGACCATTAAACTTAGAAAACTTGCTGAGGAGGCCTTTTGCATTGTGTAAAACTGGATAGTGTTTCCCGTGTTTGGAGGCATGCGTGTACGGTTAGATTTCAAGCTGACCTTTTTGAGGTCGTGCAGTAATCGTATTAGAGGTGAACTACTGATATTGGACTTTGCGCTTCTGCATGTCGGCTGATAGGAAGCTCACGTGATGACGTTCCCTTTAAACTGATCATTAAGGAAATCGTTGTTTCTGGGGATGCTGTCGTGCATCGCAGCTTCACGACTCAAAAGAAAGGTTTGCTCTCATAGTTGATAAGCCTCAGTGTTTTCGCTCTGCCTGCATGGACTGGGGTGTGATTTTACACTCCTTCAATCGACATGCTCCGATGGGAGCTTGTTACCAAGCTTGTGACAATTCTCGAGTGATTCTTCCGCCATACGTTTGGACTGAAGCACCACTTTCAACACTTTGGGGCCACGTGTGTCCAACTGGGACGGTCGGGGGCATGCAAATTGTTCACTTTGGCTGCTCCAACGTTCCCGCGCGTAACGAAATTAGGGTTTCACAAAATTGTAATAGCTTATGGGCAGTGGACAGAGGTATTGAAGATGTGAAACATTGTTTAACAGCATATTTGGTCATGGTTAGCCGTTTATGGTCACATTCACTGTTTGCCTCTGCGAGCACCCAAAGCACGCCCAGAGAAGACAGCTGGCCGTCATATTGCGCAGACAGGATAGTACATCAACAGTACATCGTGGCACGGGTGCATGCGTAATTGCGGTTCACACTCTCACCAAATACGGGACCTGTTAAGCACTAACTTTTGTGGTGGGAACTCATTAGAGCTGTATAATCACCCTTCATGGGTGTATGAAGCGCATTCTGGCTTTGACTTCACTCGATTATTCTATCTAATTGTCACCCTTGCTTGAAAAACAACCGGCGCTTTCCGTGGAACATGCACCAAGACTGTCACCTTATCAGCCGCATTAAAGCCTTAGTGCGCATCTTGATACATAGCCGATCGCTATTTCTTGATGACAGGAAGCTTCGTAGGCTGCGCTTGTCGCATCAGTGACTTCGCCTACGTGCACCGGTTTACATACGAGCTAGCCGTTTGGCCATACCAAATGCTGACGTACCGACTCATTGCGCCACTCGTTTTTCGCCTGTTTGCACGCGCGCGCAATGTGCCCCTCGCATGCAAATGCTTGCTCGGACAAGCACGCGGAGGAGTAGCATACAGTGGCGGAAGGAGGTGGCGGTCCGCCTCGGGCGGCATGTGACAGGGGTCGGCATTTTTAATACGGATGGCTGTTTAATACCAAGTGTAACTTCATCAAAATTACTTCCATGACTGAAGTGGTAAAAGCGAAGGATGATAATAATCTTATGACCGAAGAAGAAATTGGTACTGAGATATCCGGACAACAGAAAACGATATTGACAGCAGGGATGCAGCGAGAAATTTTTGTAATGCTGATGCAGAAGAGGTGCTCAAAGTGGAAAAATTGGAAATGCAACTACATTTTTGTACGATCGCAATCAAATCAACCGATTACATGGATGTCCGCCAGTGAGCTGTTAAGATTGTTCGTGAAATTCTTACTATGCTTTTCCGACTCGGATCTAAAGTCTTCCAGCATATCTATCATGAATTTACTAATTGGTGCTACCTGGAACGAATGCGAATCTGAGGCTAAGAATCTAACAACTAATTGGTGATTTTCGGGATTTGGCAAACGGTGAGCAAAGATTGCGACACTCATTGTCCATTTTCCTTCAAAAGAGGCACTGTGTTGTTTCCGCTGCAGGATGTCTTCAACGGAATAGTCTAGTTTTTCGACTGGTGGACGCTACATCCAAAAGCATGTGGACACGAATCTATCAAATCGCCTGCTTAGTCATTTCTCAACCGCAATGAGGTAGCGATCCGGCGAGTTGAAGGAAGTGAGTTTGACCAAATGAAGCAACTGTTTGCGGAATATCAGTGACTTGAAATTTCGCTAGAATACTTGACATCGTCAGCGTTCTCACCAGATAAAACGTGACACTGTTCACCGAGAAGACATCAAAGATGACAAAGGAGGCCAAAAAATAGACGGAATTTTTCAGCATTTGTACATTTGTCGGCAAAGTGTGAGCCTGTTCTTCGCGAACATTTGGTGACAGTTCAGCTGGGAAGGAAAACCAGCACCTTTTCTTTGTCGCACCACGTTCAAAATGAAGATGAGCACTTCGGTACAATCAGGTGAGAGAGCAAATCGTAGACCAGGTCAATGAAAGGGATTATGTTTCTAGGTTTTCGATAGCACGCCCGATGTATCTCACAAAAATCAGATTGGTGCAAATGAAGTGAGGGGACAGGAGTGGTTTCTCATCTTCATTGAGACCAAGAGCCAAAGGTCAGAGGAAAATTCTGCACTGGTTTTGCGAGAATCGTAGAAGGATGGAATTCACATTGACGACTGTCGTGGCCAAGCATTTGACAATGATGCTGTTATGGCGCGCTAACCAATGGGTGTCCAGAGACGTATCTGTGAAATCAGCTCAAAGTCTACATCTGTGTCACGCACAAACCGTTCTGTGTTTATGTAGCTTCCGCGAAGGTTCATTCGGTTACATTGTTTGTACGATGGACCGGCTATTATCATTCTTTGTTCATTTAAATGTTACTTGAATACCTTGGTTCAAGTCACCTGTGTACGTAGCAGATGACTGTAAAATATAAATGGAACAGTCGAGACGGTGCTGTAAATATTGTGCTGAAGAAATACTCGGAACTCGTCACTTCACTGACAAATTTCACAGAATATGGAGGAAATGCAATCACAAGATCAGCTGCATCTTTAATTCTCATCTCGTTGCAGTCGTTTTCGGTTATTTTGTATCTTAGCATTTAGGAATCTGCTCACCTAGAATTCAAGCATGCACAGGTATGTCTAAAGAAATGGGCTGGATCTGCAAAGTTGTGGCAATCGTATAACCTTAAGAGTTGCCTTTTTCAGAATAGTGGGCACATGGTATGCATTGCAACGGATGAATCCAAAAAACTACGCTAATTTGGGGGCAAACATGAAGCGTCCAATCGGTCAAAAGAAACGAAAGGATGGTGAATAATTGCTTCATATATCAATGGGATTTGATGCAGATTTGAAAAAGGAAATGCTCTATCTCTCATAGACATTTTGATTAGTGAAACGCCATAGATTTCAGAAAATTCATAACCTTGCGAACAAATATGCTTTTCCTACACCGTTACATCTGCTTGATAATAAGTATGGTTGTCCGCTTAGTAAATTCAACCAAGACATAGAAAACGGAATCCTTGCCGAAGGAGGATGATTGCGATATTTTGTGAAAGCTTCATTAAAAGACAAATTTAATGGACCTGCTGAGCTTTTAAGCTTCATACCGAAATATCACTTGGGGAATCTGCTGCACATATTTCTTACCGGAACTATTAGCATAGCCAGCTATGAGAGCGCATTCTCTAAACGTAAGCTCATAACGAACTACCTTCAATCGTCATTGAAGCAGACAAGGCTCACGGAGTCGCAGTTCACAACATAGAGAGCGAACTTGACAATGGAGAGCGTTATCAATGCTACTGCCTCAAGTGATGCGCGAAAAGTGTACCTGTAAACCTTGTTCACGAGTACTGTAACAATAAAAATTCCTGAATTTATGGCAGCACTGTATAATTGGATTTTTGCTTGTTGTCAGATGAAACACCGTATTTAAGAGCTGTCCGAAATTATGAGGCTTTACGGATTTAAAACAGCCAGAGGGGGCGAAGATTTTACGTCCGCCCCGGACGGCAAGAGTAGTTTCTACGTCACTGCAAGCACCTGGTGACTAGCTGCAATGACACTGGCTACCGCACGCGTAGGCTTTAACAGATGACCTAATGATGTAGTGCAATCATTGATGTCCCGAATTCGGCTTCAGCTCCATCGACGGTCTATCTGATTGCTTTTGCGTTTCTGTTGTCATCGATCTCTTCATGGATAGCCTCATTGCCATTAAACTTGTCATGTACCTTTATGTGCACTTGAACTTTCCACAGCGTGATCGATTTTCGTTTGGTTTGTATTCGACGTACATCATTCCGATTTCGTTTTTTTAAGTATAACTCTTCAGACATCGTACCACTCCTAAATTAGTGCATTTATTCGTTGGTGCACCCATAACTACTCGACACGAGTAACGAGTAATTTTACACGTGAGTGACCAGTGAACTTCCACAGGGAGCCACCGGCCGTATAATTGTGGCAACTTTCAGACAAATTTGTCCACTCAAAAATTATATCGTGACTTCAACACTTGTAGGGGACACATTTTCCCGATCGCAACTACTTTCCGCACTCAGCGGAAATCGTTTCTTAGAGCGTCATTCTGCGCGCTACTGCATACGCAAGACTACGCTCAAAATTTATAAGTGGTCGGTTTTACGTTTAAATGTTGTTTTACTGCGACGCTCAGCAGTGCGAAACAGCCACTCAGCGGAAGCTCATTAGTCACTCCTGCGTAAACCTACCCATCACTCGTGCTGGGTGCGTTGTGTAACTACACTATTTTGTTGTAGAAGCGTCGTTCGGCCTGGTGGCGCTATTTCTCTATTATATTATTTTGTGTTATACTTAAACGTCGTCATTTCTTTTCCTGTTTTCTTCATATTTCTGCGAGTGAATGACATCGCCCCACAATGGGATGACTGACCATCCACAAATGCCGGTAGTATAATGTGCTCTTTTGCCACTGTCCTGTCAGTTGAGGCTAATCACGTAACCCATGCCATTTGTTTTAGGCTCCTTTGTGGCTTCGGTTACGTATCCTTTTGGGTATACTTGCTATCCCTGCTCGTCTCGAACCCGAATCGCAGACTATGGAAGGATTCTCAGTTTATCTTGGGAACTTCGATCTCGGGTCGCTGTTCACCATTGAGCCGGACACACTCAACGTGACTGTATCCAACCTCAGACACGCCATCTTAGTGGACAAACAAGAAGTGAGCTCATCGTTTGTTGTATTTAAGTCTTTTTCGTGTTCCTTGTTAGGGAATTATGTGTGCCAACTATGTCTATTCGACTCGGACAAGCTCTTCAGTTCTTTAAGTCGAACCTACGTTTTACTACCTCGTTGCTTTTTCGGGTCCGTTGTACTCTATTCCATACTGTGAATTATTCGTTCACTGACACGTTTGCTTAGCAGCTCATCACATCAAGTATGTTGTGAATAAGAAACCGGTTTTTGATTCAGTCTTCCCTAGTTTCTGAATGATTACAATTTTACCCTACAGTTGCGCTATTTTTTCTTACATGCGATTTTGTTCGTTCTCCCGCAGTTATCATCCAGTGTTTATCTTTTATGAACCCTTCTATACTCAAATTTCTTAGTGCATTAGGCTAGTACATCCGGACTGGTGGTTGTCTACCGTCGTTTCTTCCTTTTGAAATGGCCATATGACGTCGTGCTACCATTATCGAACATTTAGTCCCGTGCCGATTCCTCCAAAACTGCTGTTTAAAATAAGTGCTTATTTGGGGCATTAGCCTGAATTCACCACAAATCGGCGATCGGAAGTATCATAGACGGTTGTGGAGCTTTTCGATGTTGCTCTCTCCCATCGCTGCAAAGCCTAGCAATCTTGGACGGTTGTTTACTTTCTTTCTGGAGGAAATTTTTGTCCGCTAGGGTGTCAACAGGACTCAATACCGTTGATTCGCTGCCACGCAATCGCGGTTAGAATACTGCCTGGCGGAATGCTGAGCTTGCAAGAGGATCGCCTCGGTTACTCAGTAGCCGTCTGCGATACACCCGACCGGCATCTTGAATTAACTTACATGTGCAAACTCATTCCTTTCTGTTGCTTGGGTTGCGGTGGCGCGGTATATTTTTCTGCATACACTAGACCTCTGTATCTGTTACTGCGACATCATTGCTTTAAGCTAACACTAAACAGTGGCCAGATATGTTCGGCGAACTGACTTCTTGGTTGCTCATAATTTCTCTGACAAGCATCCAACCAAATCGCTAGCAACATTCGAGGAAATGTCAGTAGAAGAAACGCACTAGACATCAACTCACCTTACAAGTTTACTAAAACCCGTGTTGTTATAGGTTCCAGAGATGTTGTGACTATCATTTTGTACCGCTAAGACAACTAGCTACTTTCGAATAACACAGTTTCCATGACATTTACTTCTGATACCAAGACCCAGTATGTAACCTAGCTGTCGCGATATATATATATATATATATATATATATATATATATATATATATATATATATATATCGCACCCATCGAACGATTGTTACTGACTGTACGCCACGGCCAGTGTACTTTTGCTACGACTTTTGCAGGTTTATTGCTTGGACAGTTGAAGCGATTTGTCCCAGCTTATCTCACCAAAATCGTCGGCTGGATTGCTTATGGCGTATTCGAAACATTTTCATTCAGCTTTTAATACGCTTGCCTGTTTTTCGCTTGTGGCTCTATCTGCTCTCGCATTTGTCTATCTCCACTCACGCTCAGGTAGCCATTGCCGATTCTGTCGGACACACCGTCACCCCTACTGCACACATCTACGTAGCAGACGGTATTATTGCGAATGCTTGTGAAGGCAACTCCACTTACTCAGGAGATTCTGGAGGCACCACTCCTCCGTGTTTAACGCGCAACCATACCGATAGTTTGTGTACTCATTCCCAATCTGATCACAATTACTGGGCTGTGTGCACTGCCTTGTTACATGGCTACACCGGATCGGATATATGCGCCACGTTTCTGAAAGACATGCCTCGGGTGCTGATTTCCACTCTACAACAGTGTGTACAAGATTCCCGTCCCGGGGCCAGGCGACGGGCTTTGGACAACGCGAAGCTGATCGTTTCCAAGCTGAACGAGGAGTATGCGGAGTTTTGATCGGAAGCGGCACCTTCGGAAACTTAACCTGTCATTAATGATCACACGTCGATCACTTGGTCCGCATGATCCATTGTTGGCTGTGCGATTAGCCGATTCACGGCTATAATCTGCCACTGTAACTATATTCCTGTTTCTTCTTGTTTTACCCATTCATCCTTTGAATTTTATATTTTATGCATTTATTATGCCTGCATTATCTCCTATATATTCGTGATTTTATTCGATCAGTGCCACCCCACTTTTCTACCTCTGGTGACGATTTCGCTTGTTGATTTTACATCTGGATAGTTTTCTCTGACATATCCGAATCCAGCCAACTGACGTCCCCTGTGTTTGATGCACTTCCCGCTGGATACTGGAGCATCGTCAAACGTTCGACCAACTTACGATCCTTGTTTTCTTACACATTCGAACGACGTTTGATTCATTTGACTGAGCTGCTCATTGGCCTTTTCTGTCAAGTGGTGGAGTGCCTGAGGATCATGTTAACATCCCTCAAGCCATTTACTCTCAAGCCCAGCACGCTTGTGCGGCAAACTTTCGCATCTCTTTGGTATCACCAGTGGCGCGAGAGGGTTATCCATCACTACTCTTCCTTTGCACGACATCTTGGAGAGTGCTCTGGATAACTGCGAACTCAATGGCGTTGAGCTGCTTCCGGGTGACCGACTTCGTGACAAGGAGTATGCAGAGGACATCGCCGGAATTAGCCGTTCTCCTCCCAAAATTACTGCACTGGGTGTATGTGTCTTTCTCCAAGTTTGGAATAACCGCCCTGTCGAATTTTAAAAAATTCTTGCAGGACTGCTTTGGAATTGCTGATTATTTCATTGTTTTCGGTCATTCCTTGGCAGTGGTAAGCAACTTCGTTTGCCTCGGAAGCTGCTTCAGCGCCAACAGTTTAACAGACGAGCTGTCTTTACGCGTCACCATGACTGGCTGCTTTTGCTCATCTCCGCCATCTCTGACTTAAACGCGACCTAAGCCTCTGAACAATGCAATCCATGACGCCACAGTCTTATCGGTCCTGCTTTATGGTTGCAAGACGGCCTATCCACGCAAAAGATGTTCAGGCGCTGTCTGTTTTTGGTCATCACTGTCTTCAGAGACCTGCTGGTGTACGATGGCGACATCACATTGATACTGATAACACACGTCGGGGAATTTTTAAATCAGACCGACTGCTGACAGCTGAGCTGCAGAATTTCACTGCACATGCTTGGGCCTTTGCTTTGCCTGCCATCTCAGCGTTTTCCCCATCGTGCAATTTTTGTGCGCGGAAGTCGGTTGGAAGCGGAAGCGAGGTAGGCAATGAACGATTTGAGGTCAAAATATGTCGATAGAGTACAACCCATCGGCGACCGTCGCTTCCGCAATTGCCGCTTCTTCTCTGCATGTAAGAGGGCTTACTCTTGCACCTCGGCAATAGCTTTCGTGATCAGATCATGCCATCCACGCCGACCAACCGCTTTTGATTCTCATGCCCTGCAATCAAGATTAGAACGTGAGAGACTCACTTTGATCATGTCCTGATGACGAAGCTTCGGTTTCCCCACAACCATTATATATATATATATATATATATATATACATGATCAAAGTGAGTCTCTCACGTTCTAATCTTGATTGCAGGGCATGAGAATCAAAAGCGGTTGGTCGGCGTGGATGGCATGATTTGATCACGAAAGCTATTGCCGAGGTGCAAGAGTAAGCCCTCTTACATGCAGAGAAGAAGCGGCAATTGCGGAAGCGACGGTCGCCGATGGGTTGTACTCTAATGACATCGAGCGCTTGGTGCTGGAGCATATGCGGCAGCGAGTACCTGAGTCTGGCAGGCCTAATGAGCCATGAGCGAGGCCACTTGGGGCCAACACCGAAACGACGACTAATCCTGCAGAGAACGTAGGCAGAACGGACGCAGCGTTTGTAGGTACGCTGCATTCGATTTACTAAACGCGTGCTTGCATGTTGAGTTTCATTATTTCAGATTGTGGGTTTGCTATATTGTCCTAATCCTTTTTTATATCATATTAATGTCTACCTGAACTTTCTTCTATAAACTTGCACACGTCCCTTGAACTATTTTAGTAGACTTCGATAACATTTTCGCGTTTGTGGCATTTTCTTAAAATATATTTTCTGACGTCTTTAACTTATCGCTGATTTGTTCGTAACCAATTTGTTTCATCTGCTCATTTATCGAAGAGTTATGTCAGCATATCTGTATGTATTATTCCATTTATTTTGTTTGATCTTGTCCTTTCAAGTGATTAGCTGTTGCTTGATATCCCCGGTGTGGCTGCGTTTGATGTGCATGTTGACAAGGTGCCTACCTGTTTGTTACCCACCACCTCGTCCATACTGGATCCAGGAGACAGCTGGTCATTGCTGGATGGGACGAGGTGCACGGTCCTTTTGGCCGTGCTAGGCTCGAAGAGTGGTTCCATGCACTCAGTGTGGAGCGGACTACGGTCCAGCCACCGCCTTGTGTGCGCTTGACTTCCCAAATACTACGTGCTTGCGTTTGTGAAGGAGTGTGGGCCGGCTCCGTTGATGAAACTTGGCTCCCATCCACATGCCTCCTGGTCTTATTCTTTCCTATTTACACTGGATATGGGGTGTGTGGGTGGAGCTGTGGGTGGTGCAGCGCAAGCCACCCATGGTCCTTCTGTGGGCGCAGGCGTCCTGTGGCTGGCCACAGTGACAGGCAAATCCGAAACCGGATGCCGCCAACCATATATATGCTTGGCAGTATCCGGTTCCGGATTTGTCTGTCACCACGGCCTCCATGGCGACAGCCACAAGACGCCTGCACCTACAGCGGGACCATGGGTGGCCTGTGCTGCACCACTCACATCTCCATCCACACACCCCGTGTCCAGTGTAAACCCGAAGTAATAAGACCGGGAGATATGTGGATGGGGGCAGCGTTTCATCAACGGAGCCGGTCCACACCCTTCAACAGGCAAACAGAATCATTGTGTAATTTGGGCACCAAGCGTGGCAGACGTGCACAAAGCGGTGGCTTGGCCGTAGCCTGTTCACACTAGTTGGAACCACGCTTTGAGCCTTGTACGGCCACGACGATCGTGTCCCCGTCTCCTCAGCAACGACTAGCAGTCTCGTGGAGGTGGAAGGTGTTAGACAGGTAGGCACCCTGTCAACATTCACCTGAAGCGCACACACCCCTCAGATATCCATCAACAACCAACACCCAGAGTGCACGAAACTCGATACGCGGACTCTTGTATGGACCAACTGCAGCAAAGATGTGACACGCGGGTCACATCAACCGCATTATTGACCTGGGTTAGTAAATCGAGTAGAAGCAGACGCAGCGTACTTACAAACGCTGCGCTGATGATGATGATCTATGAAACTGACTCGTCGCCTCCTTGAGGTTGCACACCTGTGGCGACGCTGGTGGCTTAGTAAACCGGCTTGACACATGCACTCGTGACCAAATGTGCTACAGCACCACACGCTCGATGTCTATGCGTTACCCTCCATCGGCAGCTGTAGCTTCCGTTGCCGGCGTTTCTTTTCCTCATTCAACAGTGATTTACCATGCACTTGGGCAAACATACTTTGGATGAGCTCGCGGCGATCAATTGCCTTTGATTCCGCACATCTGCTAAACTCACCTTGATCATGTCCTGCTTACGTAATTTCAGTTTTCCCACGTGTCGCTTCCCTGCACTAAGTTGGCCGCACAAAAGCTGTTTGGGTATCATTGCCGAATTCATTCGGCTGATATTGCTCTGCCTCATCAAGTGTCGCAATAATCATCATCATCATACACGTTAGCTAGAGGTGGGAAACACCTCAGCTACTGTGTCGCAATACAAAGAAAAAAGGAGAGAAAAAAGCAAGTGGTGAAAGCTGGCTGAGCTACCGGTAACGGATGGGCATCGTTCCGGTAAGCTACCAGCCGGCTGCTGTGCACCCAAAAAAACATTATTATGCAGAATTATATAATGCTAAGTAATGAGATCGTGATTGGAGGGGGAGGCTAAGAGGGATGGGGTGGGACAAAGAAAGTCACAGCACGAACGCCACTGAGGTCGGCTCCTAGCCATATCAGCAAGTGTGTCCAACCAAACGTGTTCATCGTCTTTCGGACCCCAACCAGGGAGCCGAGGCCAGCTCAGAAGTGAGGGTCTTCATTCCTCTCGACCAAGTCATCGTTTGGCCACCCCTCCTCTTCTTCCATCCACACCCCCGGCGCGCAAACAACACACATCGCGGAAGTCGGTGTGCTGGCATGCGTAACACGTGGCCGAGCCATCGGAGCCTGATGCGTGAAATAACGGTGCTGAGCGGTTCATTTCCTTTTCCTGTGCCATAAACAAGGCGTCGAACACGCTCGTTACTCACGCGGTGTTCCCACCAGATGTGAGCTAAATTACGAAGGCACTGGTGGTCGAACGTAACTAGCCTCTTCAGGTCCGCTGCTTTAAGCGGCCAGATTTCACAACCGTACAATGGGGTCGAACGTACTGCTGCATTGTACACTCTACCCTTCAGGGCAAGAGTGATGTCGCGCTGACGCCATAAGTGGCGAAGGTTAGCAAAAGCGCCCCGAGCTTTTGCTATACGATTCGTGATCTCATCTTCAATCCCACGGGCGCTGATACAACTTCCCAGGTAGTTGAATTTTTGAACGACTTCTAGCTGATCCCCACCAAGGGTCAGCGTAGGAGGCGGTCCAGACCAATCTTGGAGAAACGCTTTGCACTTTGAGGGTGCGAAGCGAAGCCCGAAGTGACAACTAGTGCTAATCTGTCCAGTGCCGCTTGGCACGTTTGTGAGCTGTCACAGATGAGGACAATATCATCAGCATACTCTAAATCAAGAAGTCGTTCTCCTGGGAGTAGCTCCACACCTTCTATGTCGTGTCCTGTGAACGTGATTTCCATGATTTCGTCAACAGCGAAGTTGGAGAGGAAAGGTGACAGCGGGCATCCTTGTCTCACGCCGCTGGAGATATTAAAGGTCGACGACAACTTGCCGTAAGCCCTCACTCTGCCCGAGCTACGAGCATATAATGCTCGGATAATATTCACATATTTCTCAGGTACACCTTTCCTGAGTAGACAGTCCCAAAGTGCATGTCTATCCACCGAATCGAATGCACCTTTGATATCGAGGAACACGACAACGGTGGGCCGCCAATATATGTGACGGTGCTCCAACTGACGCAAGGTGAAGATGTGGTCAATGCAGCTACGACCTCGACGAAATCCAGCTTGCTCTTCACGAATCTGGCTTTCACGAGTGCCAGTCAGTCTGTGAAGGATGACAGAGGCAAGCAATTTGGAGGCGATGGAGATCAGACTGATTCCTCTATGGCTGCCGCATTCCGATCGTGAGCCTCCTTTGAAAATTGGGACTATGATGGAGCTGCTCCCACAGTCTCACTAGTAACTCGTGTAAATCACCCACCAAAGCAGGTCCCCTGAATTTGAAAAGGGCTGGAGAAAGGTCATCAGGTCCCGCGGCTTTATTTAACTTTAACAGTTTGATCTCATGTTCGACTTCTGAGCGAGAGGGTGGATCCAAAGGAACAGCCCACGGAGCAGGGCGATCACTGGTCGGCGAGAAATCTAACAATTCCGACCGATTAAATTGCCTTTCAAAGTGCTCAGCCCAGCGTTCCAGGCGTTTTGATAAGTTGTGGATAGGCTGTTCACTCTCGTCACGTATAGTTTCACTAACGCCAGGTCTCCTGCTGCCCGTTTCCCGTATAAGACGGAATAACTCACGATGGTTACCAAGGGCAGCGGCCATTTCCATCTCTGTTGCACGACGAGACCACCAGGATTGGCGGT